CCCCCCCCCCCCCCCCCCCCCCCCTCTGCAGTAGACATAACCACACGAGTACGCACACACATCCATGTGCATGCGAAACCATTAACATACAGGGAAAGTGTCCCATCAAAACACAGCTGCCATTAGTCACTTCCATTTCCTGCACCCGACAGAGTGTTGCTTTCGCATTTACATATATTCCCTATGATTCACAGCTTGCATGGCATCACTGAAATTCCACATGTGAAGGAGGAAGCGGACCCAACATACTGATGAATACGGGTCAATAAGTCCTGAACCGCAGTCAAATATGAACCTGGATTGAATGTGGGAATAATATTACATCACAGAGTGCTTTCCTGCTAATTGAAAGACGCATTCACAAATAGACGATTGGTTTCCCGAGCCACTGATAGATTGCTGCCTCCCCTTGTCCGTCTCCTCTATGAAGTGGGCATGCAGCCGATCGATGCAGTGACTAATGAGTTATTCACATGCATGTGCTCACATTACTGATAGATTGGGATTGGGGGGCTAACAAGCAAGGACATGGAGGAACACCCTTTTCTTAGTAGGTTTCATAAAGCATCGTCAACCCCACGACACAGATGCACCATCGCTCCCATCAGAGTCATTAGCGCTACAGAGGCCATCGATATTCACGGCAGCCCGCATTAATCATCACTGAACATTAATGTCTTGTTGTGAGATGGTGGAGGAGCCACCTACGGTTACTGTCTCTGCGTAAGTACCACCTTTTGTACGGCGGGCTAATGCTTCACTCAGAACCATCTGTAAAACGACCTGCTGCAGGCAGAGGGAAGGCCTGAAGAAGAGTCGGGTAATAGTTGTTGATGCGGGTTACCACTCTGAAGTCCGTCTCCAGGGCTTTTTGAAATAATGAATGCCCGTATAACTAATATTTGCCAAAAGCATGAATAATTGCCAATTTACTCAGTGGTAATTATGCACTGGCCAAATTGATAGAGCATCTGTGCCAACTGTTGTATTTAACCAGGGGAGAGTTGACATGGAGGACATGGAACATGATGAATTCAACTTTAGTGAGTTTTAAGTGCAAGAGCGTTTAGTAAAGAATACATAAACATGCAGAAAAATCCATGTGCTGGTCTCATTAATGCACCTTTAGTACCATATTTTATTCACTTGTTACTGTTTTTCAGAGTTTGACTCTTTGCAGCAATTAATAAATTGTTTCTTTTCAGAGAGCAGATAACAAAATTGAACAATTTAGTCACAATAATAATAAGGAAACATTATTTTAGAGGGATAGCAGATAACAGCATGACAAAAGACTCTTAGACACAAAACAAAACATAGAAATAAAGTTTGTTTTTTAGATTACTGGCACGTCTAACTGAATGTGTGTTTCTGTTGACCAGTTAGTGATGTGTTCACACAGACTGGCCACAATGCATCCAAACAAAGAGAGAAATAAAAGATAAACAGCCATTCTGCACCCTTTTAATGTTAAAATACTTTCATGATAATTGTATTTTTGTCAGCTGGAAACAAATTATTATCTATTTGTTAATTCTAGATGACATTATCTAGAGCACATGTGCAACATGAGTAACAACCATGCTCAGCACTCAAGCAGCACATGTTCATGGCAGCTGTACAGTAGTGCATTTAAAATAAGGACCCACCTTAAAGTAGCTGTATTTAACAATCTGAACATTAATATAGCATAAATATTCTTTTCTTCTCCGAGCTTTGTTGACATCGTGCCGGCTGCACGCGCTTTTCGTGCATGCGAGTTCGTGTAAGTGTGGCCCTCTGGGTAGCTCAGGGCCACTGCTCTGCAAGGCTCTCAGATGCTTGTTTCAGTTAATAAATCAGATTAGAGGCACTCCAACATTAAATTGAGATGTTAAATTGCATGACCAGTTTCCACCAAAGTGAGTTCTGAATCTAATTTAAATATATCTATAAACTAACCTCAATGACTGACTAAAATGTTTCAGTGTCAATGTATACCATTTATACTTTTAATGAAAGTACATTTAGTTCATTTCCCTTGATCATGTGATTCAATTAAATTGATCTTTTTGGGTTGGATTGGTTCTTTGTAGGATCGGTTTGTATTTTTATTCTGGATCTTACATACCAGAGATGATGAAAAAAAAAATCATGCAATCTGGTAATAAATCTGACAAAAAGAACAGTTTTATTTCCCTCAAAAGATTATCAGCATCTGGTGGAAAACCGGATAAAAACTAACTTTTACCGGCTCCTTTTCAATCCTCCTCAATGTATAACTATTCCACGGTTATTGGTATTCTTTATCGCTCAATGTTGTGAGTTATCTGAACTACATTTCAGCATCACAGTCCTTTGCTGCGCTCCAGAGAGCATTGTGTACTTTAGCAATGCGGCAGCAAAAAGGGGTGTATGA